TTTCACAATAATTCAGAATAATCTCGACATATGCGTGTTACATGTTCCCATGAACATCTGTGCTGTGCAGACTGTTCCTGACAGCAGGACATTCAGGTGAAGCTACACCGGTCCGGCCTGCTTCTGGATGCTTTGGGTTTCTCCAGTAAGACATACGTGTTGTTGACGGGCTGTGAAGAACCTGTGGATCATAAACATCATCAGTCTGAGTGGGTTGTGTGTAACAAACACAGCTGTGCAGGTTTGGCGTGTTCACCATGAGTTTGTGTAAAATGAGGTGCTGATCGTTAAAATGACCTTTTTTTATTTCCATCACTAAACGTGGCACCAATCACAGAATATGGAGAATCTGCAGGAGGAAAAGAAAAACATTTAAATTTATCACCAGAACCTCTCATTTAGATGGGACTGTAAATAGTGATGGCAGCTCAGGTGTTACCGGTCGTGTTTGCAGTCTGTGGCAGCTCAGCGATGGTGTCGTATGTGGCATCACTGTGGTCTGATCCTCCTGTTAAAATGTTTATCAAACAGTCTTCATCAGATCCAAGTAACAGTCCAGTTTTAAGCTGTTACACACAACAAATCAACATTTTCAGCTTTAGAAGACACCAGATCCAAAAGTTTGATCACACAAAATAATTTTGGGTTATCCAAAAATAACTCACGTGTGGCTCTTTTAGTACCCGTCCAAATCAGAAGCAAGAATTAAAGTTACCTTTATTATTTCCAGCATGGAAAGTGGAAGCAGTCAAGGAATGTGGAAAATCTGTAAATGAAATATTTTGATTAGATGCAGCATGAAGGTGGAAGGAGATGAAGTATCAGCAGAAGGTTTGCTTAAATCATGTGACTGTGAAGGCTCAGTGCAGCACAGGTGTTACTGGTGTCGTTTCCAGTCTGTGGCAGCTCAGCGATGGTGTCGTATGTGGCATCACTGTGGTTTGATCCTCCTGTCAACAACAAGTCTCAGTAAGAGTTTGCATCGTTTTTATTTGTGTTCATATTCACAGTATTCAGTGACATGATGAGTAAAAAGAATTTGTGTGTGGACTTAGCCAAAAATACGTGTGAAACTCTGCACTCAAGTTTCAAGTTACAAGTACGAATTTTGACCCGGTTTTTCTTCCTTTCATCTGATTGGCCAATGTCATGTCAATCACAAATGTAACTATCCAATCAGAGAACAGATGGGTTTGGCTGTCGGAGCAGCGCTTTTTTGAACTGCAGCTCCTTCAAACTGTCACAGCTGCTTCACTCTCACCATTTATAGGATGAAGTTCTGCTCCAGCTGGTATCTCATCATAGA